TTCGGAAATATCATTGCAAGGTATCAGCAGCACCAGACTAAAATTCTCTAAGTTTTCGGAAATTCGTGTTTTTTGAATTCTACGACATCTTTGTGCGAGTCATTAATACAGGTGAACGGCATGAACAGGGTTTGGTAGCAGTTCTGCTTCAACTTTCCGCCCTGTATTACCTACATTTCCAGTTTCCTCATGTATCATCGCTTCAGTGGCCACTCCATTGGTCACTTTACTATCTAACTTTAATTCTCTCTCTTTCACCGGATGTCATCGAATTTCGATGCCCTATTAAATTTGACCGGAAACAAAAATTTAAGACGGTGAATGATTTATGAAACTAGCTAGCACCTCTTTTGCGGGGACCATTCCCGCTTCTTTTTACTTCATTGGACATTTCAAACCCAGATTCTTGTTGCGCGAGAAAGGTTCGAAACGCTTGGAGCTCATTTTTCTTTTTTTTTGGTTATACTTTACAGAGAATGTTCTTGCAAATGCTCATATGTTCCAAATTTGATGTTCTATTTCTACAGTATGACGTACGGCATAGCTGGCATTCACAGATTTGATATCATACCGCTTCATCTTTACAGCAGGACAAACGCTCACTTTTTTGGTTTCAGCCCGTCGAAATGTTTGTTTTTTAATGAGAATGTCAATTTTTATGGAGCAGAAAAAATTATTTGCCAACACCTGCCGATCAACGCAAAGAATTTTTTTCCGTGCTACTGACGAATTCAGCAAGAAAAACGTGGCAGTACTTTAAAAATCATTTTTATCAGTCTTGCTGAAAAAGTGGTGAACACAGATGTGACTTGAATGTGGAGAAGGAGATGGATGTTGTTGATGCTGGCCTGGTCTGGATCTGGCGCCAAAAGAAGCGCCTCGTCAGCAGTGTTCTTGTGTTCTCGCGTATCCGTACATCGTTGCTCAGCCAAGGTGACCGCGCTACCATTCGCGAATGCCTCAGAGCATTACCGAACGGAGAAAAAGTACGGAGTTCACTTCTGAAAAAAGTATATTATGTACGCCAATCGTCTCGCAAGTGCCTCGCATTTTACATAGTTGGAGAAAAACCATGTATTTTCAAGCCGCATTCTCTGTCACAGTTAGAATTCGATCTTCCGCTTCAGTCAGCAGCCAAGTTTCGCCTTCGAAAGTCTCTTAATTCAGTGCATAGGTACTGAAAAACTCGCGCAAATTGTCTGCATAGGTGAATCCAGGACGGGGGAAGCGGGGGGGGGGGGGG